GTTGTACCAACCCCTTTCCCTCTGCCAACCCTTATACGCTTTTTTCCCGGACTCCGGGACTCCTAGGAACCGAGTTATAAGCCGGTTGCAAACTCCGCCCACTTTCCGGGTGTGCCACGCCCAGCGTTCACATTCAACCTCTACTCCTACTTTCACCTCTGGCGTATTTTTTTCAGGTCTCTAAGTCATCTCGGAGCCGAATTATGAGGTCTTGTAAATGACGTTATGAGTCACGAATTTCTGTGGCAAACCCCGCCCACTTTGGTGCGTGGGTCGCCCACTGATATCAGTCGGCTATCATCTCTTCCCCAACCTTTTTCTACTTTTTCCCATCTCCGGAACTTATTGGAACCGAGTTATGAAGTACCGTGGCAAACCCCGCCCACTTTGGTGCATGCTCCGCCCGCCAACAGCGGTTGACCCCTTTCCCTCTGCCAACCCTTATACGCTTTTTTCCCGGACTCCGGGACTCCTAGGAACCGAGTTATAAGCCTAATTGCAAACTCCGCCCACTTTGATGTAAGCCACGCCCATCCCTGACATTTAGCTTCCCCTCCCCTCCTGACCTCTATCCGTTGTTTTCCGGTCTCTAAGTCATCTCGGAGCCGATTTATGAGCTCTTGTAGAAAACGCTGTCCGCTTCACGACACGCTCCGCCCATTGTGGGCGGGCCTCCGTTCACATCATGCGTGCTGGAAATACCTTAGGCATTGCTCCCCTGCACTAATTTCGTTTCTGCTCTGTAGGCTTCTCTTAACCGAGTTATGAATATTTTCACTGAGCACCGCTTTTTTAGAGAACGCCCCGCCCACCGAGGGTGGGTCTCCTCATTCGATCTGGCTTACCAACGCACACCTATGCCCACTTTTGTCCCAGTCTCGAGGCTGTTTTGTGACTGAATTTGAAATCAACCGATGCACGCCACGCCCACTGTGGGCGGGGCTCCGCTTGGCTGATGTGTGTTTTTTACTTCTAGGAGATATGGTACACCCATCCCAAACTTGACCTGGACCCTGTAGGTTGTTGTTCGCTTAATACGGAATTTCGTGACAGACAGACAGACAGACAGACAGACTTAGCGCATTATATATAGTAGGGATTATACAGTCGATATCTCGAAGTCTGATTGGGCGTGTCACCGGAAATGACGTGGCAGCCACCGCACTTGATAGATGTTGTGTGGATAAAATACTCCGCCAGATATCAGCAAAGCGTGTTGGAAGCAGCTTATCCGCGCAACTTCTATCAAGTGCGGTGGCTGCCACGTCATTTCCGGTGACACGCCCAATCAGACTTCGAGATATCGACTGTATATCCCTACTATATGTAAAGCGCTATATCTCTGTGTGTGTGTCTGTCTGTCTGAAATTCCCTATTTTCTGAAGATTCAACTGGAGGGATCGGGTCAAGTGTGTGACGGGTGCACCATGTCTTGAGAAGTACAAAACATGGTACACTCCATCACACGCATTACACATTACAAAACAGCCTCGAGGCTGGGGAACGAGGTGGATAAAAGTGTGCATTTCTCTTAAAATAATGGTGCTTACTGAAAAACTTATAACTCGGCAACCAGAAGGCCTACAGAGCAGAAGTAAATCTGGTGAAGGGAAGCAATGTCTTAATGAGCGAAGCGTGCTCTAAAGTGAACAGTCTTTCCTACAAGTCCTCATAATTTCTTTTGAGAAGTCTTAGAGCGGAAAAAAGCTAGAATGAGATGAAGTTAACTGTCAGTGGCGGGCGAAGCATGTAACAAGTTGGGAGGAGTTTGTCAAAGAACGTGATAATTCGGTTGAAGAAATCCCGAAGAGCGGGAAAAAGTTAACACGTTGACGACAGCGCAGGACACATACGTCCCGCACTTTGCAGGCCACAACGGACAACGCGGGACGTATGTGTCCTGCACCCATTGCATTCATTTTTTTCTCGCACACGTGATTCTTTTTTAGGCTTCTTGTATTCATTCCATGGAGAAACCTTAACATAGATACAAACATAGTCGCTCTTAGAATGGTCACGTATGCTTCAAATTAGGGGAGGTTTTCTGAACCGAACGAAATCGTCAACCCAGTTGATTTTTTGTTTACATTTTCTTTTCATGAATGTGAATATTTAAAGGGTAGTGTAAGTCAATACGGAACCTCAAGATGACAAGATATGTGTTTGATTGCAATAATCGGTGCAAAATTGCTTTTGACGTTCATTGCAGCTGATTCTGACAAATTTTGCTTTTTCACTATTATTTCATCCGACTTTCAACCAAATTTTCACTACTATATCTCTGGGGCGCTTCTACGCACTGAAAAAGACTAATCTAACTTTGTATCAATCATGTTTTATTCATTTACCATGCAAAATTCGCCTGAAGGACCTGAGGCGGCGGCGCTCGCAAAATCGCGCCGGTCCCACGCGGTCAAAGAAGCCAAAACGCGCGTTGTCGTCAACGTGTTAAACAGAGTTCAGAGATAGGGGAGGCTAAAAGTCAGCGGCGAGCGGGCGTGCAAAAAGTGGGCAAAGTTTGTTACCAAACTTATAACTAAGGTCCACGAAGTCTTGTAGGAGTGGATAGAGTCCGACAACGGGAGGGAATTCAGTAGTTGTATGTGGGTGGGCGTGCACCGGGATGGGTGAAGTCAGCCACGAAATTATAACTTGGTTCCAAAATGTCCTGGAGACCGGGAAATAAGTGGAAAGAGTCTGACCGCGGAAAGGGAGGTTACATTCTATTGAAGGGTGGGCAGTTGGGTGGGCGACGTTTGCCAGAAAGCGTTACAAAAATAGAGATTCACTTTCAAATTTCATTCATTTTCAAAAGCATGGGATCAAAAAAACGAAAAAAAGGCCGTTGCAAAACTATACGACATAGCACATTTTTTTCACAGGAATTTTATTTCAGTACACGTTTCCACAACAATTGTAAACCATATAGCAGTATGTGATAGGTCAATAGTCAACAGGTCCGCCATGATGTGCTATCACGTCGAACAGCCGATTTGGCATGCTCTCAATCAACTTCTTCAGAACCTCCTTCTGTATCAGTGCCCATTCCTCGAGTATCGCCTTTTGTAAGAGAGCCACTGTCTCGTACTGTTTTCCCCGAGCGTAGATTCGACGCGCGAGGATGCCCCACAGATTTTCCATCGGATTCAGATCGGGGGAACATGCAGGCCAATCCAGTAAATCGATGTGATGAGCCTCGAACCAATCCAGAGTTGATCTGCTAACGTGTATGGCAGCGTTGTCTTGCTGAAAAATGAGACGATGGCGGCGATTTCTTCTCATAAATGGTAGAAGGTGGTTTTTGAGCACGTCCTGGTAATCACTGGAATTCATTCGGCAAGTCGTGAAGACTATATCCAGCTTGCCACACCAGCTAAAAGCCGCCCAGCACATCACGCTTCCACCGCCAAAGTTCCGCTTAGAGAAGGTGATTGGATTTTTGCGCAGATCTCTCCAATACGAGTGCCATCCGTCCGGCCCATCCAAATTGAACTTTTTTTCGTCGGAAAAAATGATCTGCAACAGCAAGTACCACTCATGGTCGTCCAAAACTACACGTAATAATTAGTACTACCGTCTTCCAATTTGTCTGCATGTTGATTCTTGCAAAGCAAAGACGAGCCTCCTTGTGTTCCTTCGTAAGTCGGGGAGCACTCTTCATTTTCTCACGGACTATGTATGACGAGTCATTAATCACACGTATGACCGTGTGTTTGCTCACTTGGAGCCCCAATTCTTCCCTGATTTCGCTAGCCGTCTTCGTGCTGTTCGACGCCAATCGAAGAATTGAACGGCGATCACGTTCGCTCAGCTTCTTCGGTCTTCCGGTTAAAGTTTTCGTATTATACGCGAGTGGATTCCGCAAATACCGTGCAATGCAGTCTCGAGAGCGGTCGATCCGCTGGCTCATCCGGCGAACACTCCATCCCAGGTCGCGCATGACGTCGATTTCAGCCTGCTCGTCCATAGAAAGGCGATTGTTGCGTGGCATTTTGCTCCATGTGGAGTAGAAACATATATGGTATATGTATGCAACATGAAACGGTAATATTTCTCGTTTCCAATCTGGATATAGTTGAGGAGTGTTGAGAATCAGTAGCTATGTCGTATAGTTTTGCAATGGACGACGATAGTACTTGTTCTCCAGGCATCCTGGCATCCTTTCTTTCCGCAGTTATGTTGTTGAGGAATCGTGTGAGCCATCTTATCCCGTACTCTCCGAGCGCCTTCCATGCCTCGATTGGCACCCCATCTGGGCCAACCGCCTTTCCAACCTTCATCCTCCCAAGTGCACACCTAACCTCATCCTCAGTCCAGAGTGCGATGGGACCAGCTGTGGCCTCTGCCCGTGAGTTGTTCTTGTGGGGAACTCCTCGTTCAGAAGTGCACTGAAGTACTCTTCCCACCTTCTTGACTTCGGCTGGCTTCCTTAGGATGACACCATCGCTGCCTTTCACACTTTTCACCACCCTGATGTCTTGGGTAGCACGATGCCGGGCCTTA